AATTTTAATATCTACTTAATTTTAATAAACTTAATTTTAAATTTAAAATATTTAAATTTAATTATTTATTTTTTTTAAAAATATAATTTAATGTATTTATTTTTATTTTATTCTTATTTTAAAAACATAATTACAATATATATTAAAAAATAATTGACACAGAGGAAATTTTTTGTAAGTAAACCATTAATTAATGTAGAGGAGAAAAATTTTTTAACAGCAAAACAAATTTTATTAAAACGGAATTCAAGCGATACTCCTACATATATACGATTAATTTTCATAACAAACCAGGCTTGCCTCACTAAGTTCTGTACTCTCAATCTTAATTTAAAAGTAACCTTAGCGCATAGCATAGGGAATTGGCACCAACTGCCAAAATCAAAGATTGCCAGTGACTTCTTCACGTTAATTTAAGCAAAACACCTTCGTCTGCATCAACTCAAAAATTAACCCTCCACCTACAAATAAGGATTTCAATTTTATTTATTTTTATTTAAAAATATTAATTTTATTAGTTTCTAAATAAGAATGTCAATTTTTAACTTTCAACTTTCAACTTTCAACTTTTTCTATTTAAGGATTAATTGAAGAGTGATGCTAACGTGGCTAACATATTTTTTTAGGTTAAAAATCTGAATTGGTCCCTCAACTTTTTTTTTTTGAACCAATTCATCTTTGAACTTAAGAAAGTACCAAAAATGTCCTTCAACTTCAACTTCAATTTTCAATTTCATCTTTCCGTCAGTTAAATGTTGATGTAGTTAATTTTTTCACTAAGTGATTGACTATTTTACATTTTTAATATTAGATGAAAAATCTATCATGTAAAAGATGATTATGTGGATTTTTTAATTTTAATAATATATAAATAAGTATTAAATTTATTATAAAAAACAGAAATCAAATTAATTAAATTATTAAATTTAAAGACTTTTTTTTTTTTACTAGTGAGAAATTAAAAGATGGGGGAATAGTTACAATATTGTTGTACTGGCAGCTTGAACCCTTGAGAAAGAAGTTAAAGGCGTTGGTGCACTTTCATCGCGACTAAGGCCGCAAGTGCAATTTAACGACTTATTTATTTTAATAAAAACTTATAAATTTAATTAAAATTTTAAGATAACTTCAAAAACTTAGGTTTTGCCAAAGAAAACTTTGGTAGGTAGGCGGTTCACACAGAGACGCCACACACACACACCTAATTCTATTGTGTTTCTTTCAGAAATAATAGTTACCTCTTACATTAATTATCTTTTTGAACTCTTTATATGAAATTTTAAATATT